AGTGATCTATCTTATGTATTTCATATTCTTATTACTGTATTATATATTTCTGAAAATCTGAATCTGCAAATCAAATAAAAACCATATGTCAAATTTTTGCCTGTTACGCCTGTTTTGGGAAAATACTTGCTTTCCCCGCGAATTGTCTCTTAAAAATAATCAATTCTGAACCCATTAATCAAGGAGAGCGCCTATAAATATTTGATGAAATCTTTCCACTGTCTTGTTGTGTCGAATATATGTACGATGTCTCTTTGGCAATATTCAGAACATTGTGAGGCTTTTTCATTTAATTTGCACTTCGATACGTTCGGGGGCGACCAAGAAAGTTGTTGTTCTGGATGAAAACGTGAATGAAGTCCTACTCACCTATCGCCAAAAGATAGTTGATTTTAACGAAATGTTGAACAAGAAACCACTAACGATGTTTTGAAATACTTGATAATCTAAGAATAAAATTTAGTCAAAAATGCTTGAAAATCATTGATCCACAAAATAAAAATAAATTCAATTTGGAAGGATGAAGTTTGACTAAACTATACTTCTTTTATCGCTTATAACGCCAAATCCTGATCGAAAATGTAACTGGGTTTGTCGGTGAGCTTCAACCATGTATCTCTTCACAGAAAGAGATCACTTTTCATTTACGTATTATGCGATTATGGCGTGTAGATAACTGCGCCCGACTCTACTCTCACTGCACAGAAGAGTACAAAGTATAGCATATACGGAGTATAGCTATACTTTGTATTGTACTTTGATCATAGGGCAACTTGGTTTTTGCCAATTTTAGTCATCCGCTGTCACGTCTGCTCACATGTACAGGAAAGTTCCGTTTTTTTCGTCTATTCTGTAATTACACAATCACAAGACCACAATAAAATAATATGTTGATACAGCTGTTTCTCTTCCAGTTTTCTTGATTTCGAACAAGTAATTTTAAATTTGCTTTTTGAAGACAAAAATGGCTGGTCCTATTCGCACCGATTCTATTGTTGACCACACTGAGGTTGTCTGGGTTGATGAAAACATTCATGAGTACATACAAACACAACAAAAGTTTCGTCAGAATATAAAGACGCTCTATACATTCAATGATGCTGAAAAATGTGTTCAATATATCGTTGCTAATCCGACAAAAAAAGTATTTTTAATTATTCGTGGGTCGCTCGCAACTCAAATTCTTCAACGTGAAGAAGATTTAAAGTCAATAATCAATGTTTATATATTCTGTCTTAACAAAAACAGGTATAAAAATGAGTTGGAAAATAATTATCAGAAAGTCAAGAGCGGCGGAATTTTTGATCACGACGAAGACCTTCTTTTAAAAATAATGGAAGACATGGTAAATTTTTTCGAGCAAGAAGAACCAAATGGAAAGGGTGGTGAAGAAGCGCAAAAACTGAAAGAACTACATGATAAATTGTACAAGACAAAATGTACACTAATGTGGAAACAAGCTCCATTCGAAGAAGATAGACCTTCTGAGTCAGCCTCAGACTTGACCTAAATTTTTAATCATTTTCTAATAGAGTGCACATTGAAATAAACCAAGATTTGACCCTAATACTGGATTTTTCCAAATTTACTTCTGATTTATCAAGCGAATTCAAAGAGCCATGACAATTATATTTTGTTTTTATATCCTGCCGGCGGTGTTACTTGAACAACAGATGCAAAACAGAGCCATATAGACGTTTTACTTGATGTTATCAATAGTGCACCGTCGACATGCATGGTCAGTGTTATAGGATGCTTTATATGTTTCCTTGATGTGTTGTTATGCTGTCCAAATGGAATGTCGAACAGTGGAAATAGATCAATCTGACCATGTATAAATATCGCAAAAACAAATTGAGCTCCTATTTTGAATTTGCCGCTACTTACTATGATAAACAGATATCACTTTATGGAGAACTAGTAACACTCAAAGGTAAAATTGTTCCTATTATACCGTTGCGATACACATAAAGTGGTAAAGATCTGTCAGTTTTATTCAATGGTGGATTTATATCTCATATAGCTATAGATTCTTTGGCGAATATTATGTTTTCTCTTAATGAAATTGTAAACTTATTATTATGAAATTATTGACCCGTGTTTTTTAAAATCTTTTCCACCTGTTGATTTAAGTGTATAGATTTTATTTTGTAACTGATTTTGTATTTTTAGTTGATGTAAGAAAGTACATTGTCTAAATCCAAAGTCTTAGCTGCACAGTTGCACTTGTTGACTTAACCCTTTACACCCGAAGACACTTTTATTATAGCTGCAGCTGAAATAGCTACTGCATTAAAGCTTACAGTTCTTCGGTACATCCTTGTTATATCTGGATTTAAGTGATGTTGTTTTGCTGCGTGG